CTCATCTGTTTTCTATTTCAAAAGGATTTGGGTTCTAAAGGATTAAGGAGGAAGTAGCTCTTTTTTAAAATTATACTTTAAACATAATATTTAGACTTTTGTCCTTGTTTGGTTTTTCTTATTACTGGTCTTCTCAACTAAAATTTTATTTATTTACCACATTTAAAACTATAAAAGTTAAGTGAATAGATATAATTAAATATAAAACCATCATTAGAAAAAGAAGAACCATAAATACAAAAAAACTAAAGGCTCAGTTATCATTGCAGCTGCGTCACCATAACATCCATTTCCAATTAATTATCTTTCCTGATGAACACAGTCATATAAGATTCATGTTTTCCTAACATTGTTTGTGAAGTAATAAATAAGAAGAATATTTTAAGTGAGTATTTCAACCAATGATACAAATCAGGATTTGTTTTATATGTTTTAGAGCGAAATAATAATGGCAGGTTTTGATCATTCAGTCATGTAAACTGATAAATAAAATCTCCTCATTCATATACCCAGTGGAGCACAAGGTCCAAAATAGGGCTACCAAGCCCCCTCCCTTATAAATGTTACAGCATTAAGCACTGCTTTTATTTATTATCTTATCATGTAAAAACCTCACCGTGGGTTGGAAGCTACTTCTTGGCAGTACACAGCTTAATACAGATTCATATTCATAGGGTTTTCTATAAAAGATTGACCTAATCTCTTTTCACCTCTTGGCCCAACCACTTAGCAGCATCCCTCCAGGAGTAATGTGTGTCTATTTTCATTCTGGGGTGTGGGTAAAAGGATTAACAGGTCTTTGAAACGAAGATTTCTCAAAAGATACACATTTAAACTGAGTATTATGTACAAATACTGATGTGGAATTTCACTCAATTAACACATAATGAAGTAAAACACTGTAGTTGTGTGTAGAACTTGCCCAAGTCCTTAAAGGGATATTTTTGCCAAAATATGTTTAATCTTCTGGTTTGTTTTGATGAATTTAGCTGATTTTGAGTTAAAATTGTGAATAAGAGATGAAAAAAAAAATTTCTTCACATTTAATGTAGAATGTGACCACAGATGACATTAGATCCATTAAAAGTCTTGTTCGCTGAGAAACCGTGTAATACTTGTTACTTGTAATATTAATAATCCTATCAGTTGATGCAACTTTGTGGGCTCACAGATTGTAAACTATGACTACATCCCACTTTGACCATATAGGGAGCCTAACTCACAGCATCGGCATCTGCTTCTGGTCCACTATTGACAAAATTTATGGCAGCCCATGAGTGGATAAAACTTATTTTCTGATCCCGTTTGATATGAGCCACGGATTTCACATATGATGTCCGTGAGTTTTAAAGACACATTTTGATGCCAAGAAAGCACTTAGATTCTACAGGCGGCAAAAGTTATTTTAGGTTTTATTTTAAAAGATGTAACGGACTACAAATATTCGTCCCACCAAATTGATGTCACTGAACCAGACACAGAGAAGAGGAGAAGAACAATGTCTGAGGTTAGCGAGCTTAGAGTCCTTCTTCCAGGATGACAGAAGGAGCATTAAACATGGAGAAAACCACTATAACTCTGGCCATGTGGTAAGGAGCAGCTACGATGGAGAAGGGATTCTGTGGTGACTTCATATACAGTATGTTACATCTGATTTGTAGTCCTTTTAATGAAGAATTTTTACAAGCTAAAAAAAAGTATGTGAAAGGCATAGTTGACACTCATAATTATTTTTCATTTGAATTGAATGGCAAATGGCCTGTATTTCTATAGCACCTTCTTAGGGTTCTACAACCCCCAAGGTAGCTCACAATACAATCAGCCATTCACCCATTCACATGCTGGTGGATATGAGCTACGATGTAGCCACAGCTGCCCAGGGGCGCACTGGCAGAGGTGAAGCTGCCGAACGCAGGCGCTACCGGTCCCTCTGACCAACACCAGCAGGCGAGGTGGGTTAAGTGTCTTGCCCAAGGACACAACAGCAGCATTCTCTGGTTGGAGCCAGGATCGAACCTGCAACCTTTCGATTACTGGAAACCTACTCTACCTCCTGAGCTACTGCTGTCCCACATACATATAAAACACAGTACAACGTATTTGTGATTCGGTAAAGCAGACCAGGAAATAGCATTCATAGTCTCGGTCACTTACATTGCTTTTTTCTTTCTTCCCTTGACCCATGACCTGAAGTCGAGGAAACAGGGTGTTTCTCAATGCCAAGGAACCTTGCCTTGATGTCTTGGCCCCGCCCCGGTTACCTAGGAGATAAGTCATCGGGAGCCGCCAAGACGTGTTCCAATGTTCATGTTCTACTGAGGCGTGTGTTCTCCGTTTGTTAGCCGTTTAGCTAGCTGAGCAAGAATACATGGGAGGTGTCTTGTAGCCTCGCCTTGGTCAAAAATTACCCAGAATACACCGCGGTATTTTCAAAAGGACGGCAGATCAGAAGCCGGCAGCTACTCCGTGGGCAAACTTTAAGTTTAAAAGTAAGACAACTAATTTAAAATGGCTTTTTTTAGATCCAAAGAAGTTATCTATGGTTGGTTAGTTGCTTAGTTGTTGCAGCTTCGGTGGCTAGCGGGTAGTAGCTCACTTATATTTTTAATTTAATAAACATATACACAATTGAAAAAGTAAAAGGCTTAAAAGTATATATTTATACTGAAACTAATGCGTATAAAATATAACGTTGTCTCTCGTGTCACATGACGATACGTGACCACCGTGGAAGCCACGGTCATGTAATGCAAGTCTGTTCCATTTAACCGTTTTCTTTGACCAAGGAAGGACAGTGTCCTCGCAAGGCCAGGCGCCTTGACATTGAGGAACAACCCTTAGGCTCCCTATTGAAAGAAGAAAAACTGATAACCCCCAACCCCCCCAGCCAGCGGAGAAGTAAAATTCTATAAAATTCTTACATTTTGTGCTTTTAAATCTTATGAATATATAAAAAGCCACCAAAGCATCTGAAATGTGTAACATGTAAAACATATTATTACCAATAGTGCTGACATTAATGGCTGATAGGTTATTGGTGTATTTCAAATGATTTCTTATTAATAGAAACTGGTTTTATCAGTCAGTGTTAAAGTAAAATGTGACTTCGGTCTGCTGTTAAAGTCCTGCAAACACTAAAAGGCACATGGGATAATAAAAGGAGCACAAGGTGGTTATAAAACCAGAGACTTTTTCTTTTAATTCATTTAATGTTTTTTGCTGGACTGTGTCTGAAACAAGCACTCTTGGAAATTGAGCAGTTTGTCTTCTGGCATAGTTGCTTGGTGTGTGTGTGTGCGTGCGTGTGCGTGCGTGTGTGTGTGTGTGAGTGTGTGTGTGCGTAAGCAGATGATTGAACTGCTTTGAATGGAGTGAAAATATCACACACATTTACATCACATACTTCTTTTCTTGCAGAGCGGAGCATTGCAAATGACTCTTTTAATGACTCGTCTGTCCAGGCCGGGGATCATCAGTGGAATCTTGAGAAATTATAAAAACGTGACTCACTTCGACAGTCTTGTGACCTAATGAAATTCAGTAGATCCAGATGGAGAAAGAGAGGCGGGAAGGATGTAGTGTTGCTACGGGAGATGGATGATGTGTTGTGTTGTAGCTCGTAATACATTTTAAAACCTGTAGAAGACCAAATTTGTTTAGGATGAAGTTTACATGTTCAGCTGTTTAAAATAAGTGATGGATAACAAAAGAAGACACTGCAGCTGAAATCGGTCTTCATTCTTCCAGGTTTGCAGCACAAAAAAGTCAAACATGCACTTCGCTGATGGATTTCAAACACAGATGGATCTCATTTGCTTGTTTTTTCCTTCTCATCTTTATTCCATTTACACACAATCTGAAATGTGTCACTTTCAGAGGCTGTGGAGATATTATCTATTTCAAGAGAGCTCATTAAAGTCTTCCATTTAAAGTATATTGAAAACAGATTTGAAGAAGATGCAAAGAAAAAGTCAAATTGAAACAGTTTTGAGTTATAGAATGAGATCCCGGATCGACTCATCTGTCTGTGTGTCAATAAATCATTTACAGGGAAAAATGCTAATTATTTTAACTGTGTACTTGAAACGGCCTCACTGCGGCTTGGAATGATAAAATTAGCTTGTTTAAAAAAATAATTCTCATGCAATTTTCCACAAGTGTTGATGGCAAAGAACTCAAATATACATATTCAGGAAACATCAGTAACGATTAACTTTTTATCTCAAATTAATTAGAAAATCATCACAATTTTATCAATTATTAGGTTTTTTAATTATCTTTAATATTAAACAATAATGTTAAAAACTTGTTTTTTATAAACTGAACTATTTATTGTCAGGTGTTAATGAAAGATAAAAAATGTAAAATTTTTATGCAATTTTTTTAACAACGTAACAACAATAGCAGGAATGTTCAGATCACAAGGAACGTCACCTGATCCGAGTTATTTGATCTTGGGTATGCCGACGGGGGGGGGGGGTTGGTGCCTATCTCCAGCGGTCAATGGGCAATCAGGCAGGGTACACCCTGGACAGAGAGCCAGTCCATCACATGGCAACACAGAGACACACAGGACTAACAATCACACACACACACACACACACTCACACTCACACACACACACACACACACACACACACACACCATACTCTCTCTCTCTCTCTCTCTCTCTCTCTCTCTCTCGCTCTCTCTCTCTCTCTCTCACCTAAGGACAATTTAGACAGACCAATCAACCTAACAGTCATGTTTTTGGACTGTGGGAGGAAGCCGGAGTACCCGGAGAAAACCCATGCATGCACAGGGAGAACATGCAAACTCCATGAAGAAACATCCCAGGCTGGGAAGCGAACCCAGGACCTTCTTGCTGCAAGGCAACAGCTCTATGACTGAATTCTTAGAACAATATGAAATATGAAAATGATGACATCATTATAACCTGAGATGGCTGTAGTCTATTCAGAGTTCACTGTCTGACTGTCTGGATGTTATTCACCTGTCAGGTTGGAGTCTCCAACCCGTACGTTGACCATGGAGGCCCCTAGAGGTGTGGAAGTGAGCGCTGCAGAGGGACCGCTGAAAATCAGCAGCAGGAAGGACCTGCAGCTGAGGTCCACAGAGGGCGAGGTGAGCTTTCTTGTTCACTGAAACTGCCATGTTTATATATATATATATATATATATATATATATATATATATATATATATATATATATATATATATATATATATATAATTTTCCATGCATTTGAGTTGTTTTCAACATTTAAATCGACTCTGTTAATACTGAAAGTTAATCTGAGGAGATTTCAACTTGTGCTTCCTGGAGCACCTCAGTGGTTCTCAAACTTTACAGCTTTTGATTCCACAAAATAAAAGTCTCTTAACTGTATGAACATTGGACCATAACACACTGACGCTCACTCCAAGTGGTAGGCTCCACAGAGGTTTGTTCAGGAACTTCTAGTTTAATGTTATTTTTAACTTACATTATAACCCTCACTGCCCCAAATGAGTATAATAACCCAAAGAGAACAAATTTCATTGGTTTATTTGTGTCTAATGTTTTGTGTGAGTGTGTATGTTTCTCTGTAGGTGTCTGTGTTGCAGGAGCAGACAAACATCTAAGTGGGATTTTAATCATTTACTAGTTTTGATGTTTCAGCGGCCATCCTAAGATTTCCCCCTCTCTCCATGCTGCCCATCTGTATTTCCTGAGGACATCTCCCCCTCAGGACAGTTTCAGTGTTTCTCTGATGTTTTCCCCTTCCAGATACTTCTGGATGCAAACAGCATTCAGCTGGGAAGCCTCCCGCTTGGCGTCTATGCTTCGTCTACCAGTCAGGACTTCCAGCAGCGGGTTGTATATGAGGTGTGTGTCTGCCCCAGCGGCAAGATGTACCTGTCTCCTGCTGAGAGCTTCTCCTCCTGCCAGGCCATGAGCAGCATTTGCCTGTGGAGCTGACCTGGGAGCAGAGCAAGGACTCGTAGGATTAATCTGCTCTGGAATCTGAGATAGGTCTGAGCTGTCAGTGGTCAGGTGTCTGTCTGCCTGCAGCCAGGACCAGGACCACTAGATTATTAAAAGTCAGAGGACACAACTTTTATTTTTCTACTTTGAGGTTTTATTCCAAACAGCTTTGCAAACTTTTTACAACATCAAGAATGAACATGTGGATAAAATGTGTGCCTTCAGCTTTAAATTGTGGATTTTGTTGTGATTATTAAAAAGCTACTGTTGTAAAAATAAATAAATAAGGAAGCACAAAACAAAAAAAATTTATATTTTGTATCAAATCTCAGTGGTAATGTTCCAGCAATATTAGAGGCTTTTAATTTGAAATTAAATATCTTCTGGACTTTTATTTGTTTCAAGTTTTCCTAAGGTGAGCCAAAACATCAAGGTCATGAATTTATTTATTTATTATAAAATAAATGGAAGGCAGCTGTGGCTTGGGTGGTAGAGCGGGCTGTACAGTAAATGAGAGGTTCCTGGTTGAATCCCATTGTGTTCTTGAGCAAGACATGTCACTAATTTTGCCTATGTTGGTGGTCAGACTGTCCCACGTTAGTCGCAGCTATGATACAGTTTGCCATCAACTGCAGACTCGGTGAAATACTTTGGGTCCTTCAAAAGTCTAACCTGGCCTGCCAGACTCGTCCTCTGTTTAATTCTGCACAGAGAAAGAGTCTGGTAACTCACAGGCAGAGAGGCACATGAGGGGCGGGACTAGGCAGCTCAAACATAACCAATCAGAAAAAAGACTGTACCACCAGACACTGTTGTTTTTTAGCTGTAGTAAAAATGTGGCGTCTGGCAACGGTGCAAACATCTTTTTTTTTTTAGAAGAAAGGCTTTTAGCGCTTCTACTTGTTGTGGTTTTAAAGACACTCAAGTCATTTAGAACAGAGGAAAGAGCCACAGCGAACTCCGCCGCTGTCTTTGTTGTTTATGAGAATTGAGCGTTGCTGTGTGTGGTGTCCGCGACGCAGTAGTTTTGGAACTGTAGTCAAAATTAACACTTGGCGACAGCGCAAACATCTTTCTTTAGAAGAAAGGCTTTTAGCACTTCTTCTTGTGGTTTTAAAGACATGTCCAATCATTTAGAACAAAGGAAAGAGCCACAGCGAACTCCGCTTCAGTTGCCATTGTTGTGAATATTAGTCAACGAATAATTTGTAAGCTTTTACTTACTTTTTGGATTCTTCAATAAAATTTGTAAATATGGAAATATTTACCGATTTTATTACGTAATTAGGATATCCGGAGATATCCTTTGGGCACCACCCTTTTTAACAAGGGAAAATGAATCCGAAACCTCTCATCATTCTGTCTTAAGGTTAGTAAAATTCGTTTACGAGCAGCAGTCATGAATTCATATCACACAAGCAAATTCACTTGACAAAACTGGATTGGCAATACATTTATTAACTAATATAATCACTTCATTTCTGAAGCGTTTAGCCAATCAATATTAACCAACTGATTTTATCAAACAAACAAAAACAATGAAACAATGAAATGATAATGTAAAACAATCTGACCCAATAAGTGTGTGTTTTAGTCTTGTCCCCAACAACACTAAAAACAAGTATGTGTGTGTGTGTGTGTGTGTGTGTGTGTGTGTGTGTGTGTGTGTGTGTGTGTGTGTGTGTGTGTGTGTGTGTATGTGTGTGGGAGGTAACTTTTCACCACCACCCTGAAAACCAGGGTGTGTGTGCAGCTTTCACAGTAACATTTTACCAAACACTTTAAAATCACAGTGAAACTTAACCAAAACACTTTGAATTGTTTCTCAGTTCAAGGAAAACAACAAATCAATCAAATTGAATATCTAAAAAGCCTGTCCAGCCGGGCCCAGCTTAAACAAACACAGATATCACAATAATAAAACAAACAGACCTGAGTTCTGATGGCGGTTTTTGGTACGAAAGAGAAAAAACCCTCTCCTATTTTGAAGCAGATCACGCGGTTGACCGCTTGTTTGGCTATGAGAAATGGGAGAGGAAGATAGATAAAGGAGAAAAAAAACTCTTCTCTGAGCGAATTCAAGGCGTCCCTCGGCAATCGCGCTGAGCAGATGTGATAGTTTTCCGCTGCTTTTCCGCGGCTCGGCCACTTGTCGTGTCCGGAGCTGTAACAGAACGAGCGTCTCTTCAAACACCAGCTGAAGCTGGACACAAAGAGATCATTTCTCTTTGCGCTTCAGCCCTTAAGCACACTCATGCGGGCGGACCCTGGGAGTTCCGAGGGTCCGGTTTTGCTTTGTGATGTCATCACGCTGCTTACGGGTGCAAAGAATCATGGGACATGGAGTCTCTTTTGGCGCTTTCTTTTATTCTCTTTTTATCTGCCTTTCAATGAGTGCAGATGACAGTTTTTTGGAGAAATTACTGCATAGTAATTTTTTCATGAGGGCAGACCCTCAACACCATGTTCGACAAACTCAGCGTTATGGTGTGTGACCATCGACATATATACTGGATAATGCGTTTCCATAGACTCCAATAATAGGTTTTAAGCCAAAATGGGAGGTGGCCACCACCGCCATTTTGACTGTGTCATAGGTTCTGTCAAGCCCAGACAATTCCACAAAAGGGAAAAGAGGTGGAGCTGAGGGTGGGGCTGTAAGGCTGGGATCAAATGACAACACCCATCGAACTGAAGCGACGTAGCTACAAGCTAACCCAAAGCTAAAGCGGAGGTGGGAGCTAAGCTAACGGAGGTAACTACCTAGCTACAACCGGAGTTAACTGTGCACAACACCGGACCTTCTGAGTCACAGATACGTCGGGCTGACCGCTGGGTAAAACCGGGTAGAACACAGGGGTCTCCCGAGACCTCCACAAGCTGGCAGCCGCGCAGCAGACGAGCGCCGCTCCGATCCGAGATGCGTTGAACTGTCGCTGGGGAGAACTGGGTGGAAAACATCGGTTTCCATCCAAGAGCTCCACAAGCCGGCAGCAGACAGGTGCCGCTGCGATCAGAGATGTGTTGAACTGCCGCTATAAGTCCATACCGATAGTCGGAACCCAGCTCCACCAACATGTCATATTTCAACCCATTTTCAAAAATGCTGCGTTATGTTAAATGCACTGGGTTTTACCCTATTACATTTAAATTACATGGTTAAACAGTACATGTTAAAATCTCAGCTCAGCTAGTGCAAGAGCGGCAGTGACCTTACAGGGTTTGGTAAATTGAGTGCTTTAAGAGCTTTTGTACCGCTACTCATTACCAATAAACTGTGATACTCTATCTAAACATAGAATATCAACCCTGCTTGGTCTTTGTGTGTTTATCAGAAGATTCTAGGATTCTTTATTTATTAAGGGATTGTACATACTTCGTTTTGATTCAGAAAAGAGTCAGGTTTATAAAAGTAAGAATTTATTTTACCAACAATTAAAATGTGACAAGTTAACTAAGCATTTACTGTGATGGATGGAACTAAATGTGATGAATGAACCTTTGTGTGAATGCGATGTTAGTACGAACTTCCTTATCTAGGAGAGCTGAGTTCTGTATGCAAAAGAATTTGGTTTGCATTAAGCTATGAAGTTGGTTGTTATCAAAAGCACATCAGACGCTATCTGTGTGTCTACTTCACCCATTTTCGGAGACCCTCTTGGTGGATCCAAAGGTCAGAGAGGTCGGCTGACCTCTGGCACCGAAGGGCTGTAGAATACCGTGGCACCGACTCTTCAGTCCAGAGATGTCTCGGGTCACAACAGGTGGATGGAACCGCGCGTCTGGGACTCTTTAAGGAGTCAGAACAAGATCAGCTTGTTCTGCGGGAACTGTTTGATGTGTCAGCTTTGCAGGCGAAAAAAGGTTTTGACGACGTGTCAAAAGCTTTGATGGTTAAAGAGGGTTTTGCTTCAGATGGCCCGTCTGAAGCTTTCTCTAGAACTGAGGAAAAAACCAGAGTAATTTGGTTTTAATGCTCTCATGTTATGATTGTGTAGCCAACCAGAGGTTGACAAGTTTGAGGAATATTACCAAGAATCTCAGAAACTCGCCTTCCTTGATACTGGATGCTCTGATTTGGGGTAGAGGACTATTTATGTGTCATGAGTTTAACTTAACCTTACTTTGTTTTTGTGTGAGTGCAAGTGGTGATGACCTAGTCATATGAACATGCTGAAACATATTTCAATCACTGTAATTCAAACATAACATTAATTTCAAACTTCAATCATTGAGCACAGATTAATGAAACATTTCATTATATTATAATTATTATAGGTAGCAATAAACAAATGTTTAATGATTATCCAGCTTATAAATTGTAGAAGTTCATATCTGATTTAGGAAATCATTCTTTGATTTAGCAACTATTCCGGGCTGCGAGTGTTCCTTATATGGGAGCATGAAGAATCCTGAAAGATTGGACCTTGAGGAGCGAACATTATTGTTGACATTTCGTTATCTGTGTTCAGAGCTGCAGGCTCTGAGCTCCAGCTAATGGGATGAAGGCAGGCTGATTTAAAGGGGACACATGCAGTCTCGTGTCTCCCTTTTGACCAGATGTTGAATGGTCACACAGTACCTAAAAACTGACCATTGCTGGACGTTACACCTAAAATACATAAATATAACTTTACTTACCGAAAAAAATGAAGTGGAGACTCCTTGGACGCTCTATTAGTGCAATTAATCCACAACAAGTCATTTTGTCCAACAATTGCACAAATAATATCCAAAAAGAATGCAAAAATGGCACAACTAATGGTCTAAGTTGAGAGACTGAAAATCGCGGAACAGTTTTCAGGTGAGGCGGAGGCTCAGGCTGAGGCCTTTCCACGGAGCAAGCTCTGTGGCCACATGGGTCTGATGCTCATTAATTATTCAGAATTTTAGGCATTTAATACACTTAAACAGAAGAAAAAAATCCCCCCCTCAGAGTTGTCATGAGTGTAAACTAGATAATTTAAACCAAAAACATGTTTTGGAACCAGGCTGTAAACATGTTTCTTTCTGCTGTGAAATTGTTATTTTTAACATGGGAGTCAATGAGGATTTGCTCGCTTCTGACACCAGCCCCCAGCGGATGAGGGTGGAACTGCAATTTTTGTTACTTCCGTATTGGCTTCAATTTCAGACCCGAATTATGGACGTTTGGGTAGGAGGGACCGGTGACGCTTGTGCTCGGCAGTCTTGCCTCTGTCATTGCGCTCCAGGGCAGCTGTGGCTACAGTGTAGCTCATTCCCACCAGGGTGTGAATGTGTGTGTGAATGGGTGAATGACTGATTGTGTTGTAAAGCACCTTAGGGGGTTCCAAGACTCTAGAAGGCGCTATATCAAATACAGGCCATTTACCATTTTCACCATTGGTCACACAGGACGCGCTGCACTGCTGAGTGCTTCTTGGAAAGTCACACGATAGTCTCGCGGGACTTGAGAACAGAAAGCGGGAAGTGACTCTATTGTGTATACGTGGTCAGACTTTCCGTCATTTTTTGTGAGACTCAAATTCATAAAAAATGGGTGAGTACGTTATTTATTTGAATATTTTAAGATCAATAGTACTTTCCAAAAGTTCCAAAATATAATTTTTTAATTATGTTTTTTTTATAATGCAGAGGAACACACCCTTTTCATTGCTTGTTTTAAATCTATTGTATGATTTACTTTATATGAAAATACTTGTGGTAAATGTATGGGATGCAAAGTGTACCAAATTCAGAGAATTACCCAAAAGTGATTACAGGAATTTAATGAATAGAAACATTTGAGGATTTGTTTAAACCTTAATTTACTAAAGACAGTTTCGTCTAGAATTTCATACCTTCTGGATTCCAACTCACCAGCCATTCATTAACGTATACCGCCACCCACTGGCCAACTGTTTTAAAAATCCTGCCAAAACTAGAGAAAAAAAAATCCAAAAACCAAGCTTCAGGCATTCTGAGAGCTCTTCATCACGTCACCTCCAGGATCAGACATCCCCTTTTCTCCCTTGCAACACACTTCTGCTTTCTTTGGAGATCCTGAAGCATTCTCAAACCAGAGATTAACAATCTCTGAGGATTCAAGGGCCTTCCAATGTCCTTCCTTTGTTTTAATTTAATTCCTTTTTTTTATTATTATTATTATGAAAAGAGCTACTTCAGAGGCAAATCGTCAGGCACTTTTCAGAGTATTTTAAGATTAATTTAAATAGATTTAAACAAAAAGCTAAATCAGTTTTGTAAGTGGTCCGGCACAAGGAAAGTTTAAACCGACAAAACCAGAAACTTAAGTCTAAAACCGTCTTTATTTGTCGGGTTAAGAAGAACATTGTGTAATACACTAATACAAGGTGTACGGTTAAAAATGAGAGGATAAACACTTAAAACCAGTTGTAGCGTCATGAATGGCCTCTAATTTGTGACAAAGGTCACGTTTTCCCAGCTGGGTTAAGCTGGGTCGAACTGTAACTTTGCCCCACAGATTAACCCGACAGGAGCCGTGATGTCTGCTGAAACAACATCTTTATCTGCTGCTGTTCCGTCCCAAGATGAAGGACACTTCAAGATTTTACAATAATAATTTTAAATAATTATTTTAATAAACTCTTTGACTTTATTACTGTTTATTACAATCATCATAAATCTT